GGCCAACTGAAATGGATCGAGAACTGTGTAGCTGGTATTTTTATTTTTTTTATTCAATCTTCGCTTTTAGCGGTTTTCTTTTAGCACTGCACTGGAAAAACTTGGCCGGTGCCAATTTTCTGTAGAAAAACTTTTCCGTCGCATTCTTCTCTTTGTTGCGTATAAATTGCTGTCAATTAGTTTAATTGTTTTTCTTAGTGTTTTTTTTTTTACTTCTCCTTATGTTCTCTTCTCGATTTTGCTATTTTTCTGCGCTATTTGCTTGATTTCTTTTGATGACTATTATTGATAAGTTGTGCAATTGTTTTGCAACTGTTGTTAATTGCAATCAGCCCGAGACCAATAAATGCCGACAGACTATGAGTTTTCAATCACCATTCATTCTTAATGAAACGGTTGCAAGGTTGTAATAAAAAATATTTGTATTGAAAAACAGAATTGATTTTATTTGCAAATAAATATTTGTATAAAATGTTTCAAAATTGCGAGTCAGTCGAATGTGAATTTGTTGCTCGAAACTCATGTGGAAATGCCATTTGAAAGCATTGTAGCAGCAATTATTTTTATTAATATTGATGATGTGCTCGGCACGAAGGCGTCTTGTGGAAGCTGTGCTCCGCAATATATCTTTGTCAACTCTGGCAAGTAGGAAAAAATAAATAACTAAAGCGAGTACTAATGATGCGGCCACAAAGCTCTCCGCTAGACGTAGAGGTAGAAGCAGACATAATGTCACCAAGACTGAGAAGATAAATTAACTATTAATTTACAAATACATATGCTTAAAAAATAATCATATTTTTTTTAAATAAAAAAATGTATATATATATATCTACACCTACCCCGGGCTCCGGGGGCCTGTATATATATATATATATATATATATATATATATATATATATATATATATATATATATATATATATATATATATATATATATAAATAAATTATATAAATATAAATAAATTATTATTATATTTTTTTATGTATTTATTCTTAATCATGTATTAAAATTAAATTCATGATAAAGAATAAATTCAAAAGAATAAATAAATAAAAAAAATAATAATAATAATTTATTTCTTTAGAGATCGGTACTAATGTTGCATTACATGTATTAAAAGAAATAAATTGATAAAAAAAAAAATAAAATAAATAACATTAAAATTTGTTAATATTTATAAATACATTTCCGCAAATTGTTTTAAAGTCATAAATAAATGAAAAAAAAAAATTACAAACATATTTTTGACTGTGAAATACTCTCGAGATAAATGCGCAGCTTAAATTTTGGTCCACGCTTTTGATGGGCTAAAGAGCCAGAGCAACCAACAGGACGTAAGCTCAAGTACTTAGTGACACACAATAATAGCATAAATCTTAATTAATTCCCAGCCAAAAAGATTTAAAGCATTTATGCGCTACCTTGAAATTTATTTGTTGTTTCGCTCCCAAAGATATATAGCAGATTATGCAACATTTTGTCTTTAGGCATATTATAAACAACTTTTTCTTTTTGCGCTAGTCTTCTTAATGCTAATTAGAAAAGTTTTGTAAGTAGCGCTTAGCTCAACTCTGGCCAAGTTGATTGATGGAAATTATGCATAAGTCAACAAAATAAATGGCAAGCAAATATGAAGTAGGCAGCTGCAACAATTTTAAATTGCCTTGAGTGGAGTTGCTTTAACTGGATTGTAGATATGCCTTGACCTATTCCTGTGCATACAGAGTTTCCCATTTGCGAGTCGGATGCGAACACAATCTTTGGTTGTTTTACTAGTTTTCAGCAAACTATCCACTTAACATTTTCACTTGCTGCAATTTCCATTGTGCAATTGGGATATGTGTGGGAATACATGTTGTCTGTGTGTGTGAACTTTGTCCTGCCCTGCAGACATTTTCTTATTCCAACTGCCCTCTGTCTCTCTCTCTCTCTCTGTCCCTCTCGCTCTCTAATATTAACATAATATAACCCTCAACGAGGGCCTCGAGCTAGAGCGCAATAAAAGTAAATACAATGAAACTAAACACTGTCCACGTCGCGTCGTCCGTCCGTCCACGATAACTGTATAACTGCGCGAAATTCCACAGCTTGTGTGTTCATAAAAGGGGCATAAACGTTTTTATGGCTTTTGGTCCTACGTTTATTTGAGTATGTATGCATTTATATTATATATGTATATACTTACATAAACAAAAAATGTTTATCTAAATTAGAGCAGTGGGAAATGTTCAGAAATTATTGTGCATTATACAAGCTTAAAATTGTGTACAAAATATGCATATTTCATTCGGGGGCAGTGCAAAAAATATTTCAAGTTATTTAAAGATCATATATGTTTTATATATAGTATTTTATTCATGTTCCTGAACAAGTACCGGAAATTTCTAAGCATTTTCTATATTTAAGATTAAATTATTTATTTAAAGATAGCCAGCAGTTAAAAATGGATGATGTTTGTTTACAGATTCTAGTTTATTTTCAATCTTAGTTTTCTTTCAAGCATCATTTACTTTAATTTTGTTGTTTGTTAATTAATTATTAATTATTAATTTAGTTATGATTTTTAAAAAATATAATAAAATTATATTAGGTAAAGTATATAACTTTGGCAATGACATTAATCAATTAATTATTATAGAAAAATACAAATCTAGCATTAATTGATATGAAGATAAATAACTGAATAAAAAATAAGCCTAAGAATGCTCGTTCAGTTTCCAGGATATTTTGTAGTCAGTCTGTTTACTCTGGCCTGCTTGTAGATGTATTTTTATAGATATATGTAAGACAGTTGCACTCGTGGGTGTTCTCATATCCAATTCTTGTATGTATTTCGTTTGGAAAAGCAGAGCTTAACTTCAGTCTTTTATCTAACTGAAAACTTCGCCTAAACGATAACGCACGACAGTTCCGTCAAATGCAGGACAAAGCCACAAAAAGTTGAATACAAACTTTTGCATATGGAAGCCACTCTGTGATGATGTCAATATGACTAAATGCAAGAAAATAAAGTTGCTTAAAATATGAGCTATGTATGTATATATATGAATATGATTTATATATAATGAAGTAAATATGAGTAGAAATATAATAAATATAAAATGTATAGATAACATAAATATAATATAATAATATAAATATAACACTAATAAAATTATTACTACTGTCTATGTTTAATAAATTCTTTTCAATGAAATGCAATTGATAATCAAATTATTCAAACAGGAATTGCTAAACTATTTCACGAAATTCAAGTTGAACATGAAGATCAGGCGCGTGCCAGAAAATTTTTTCGGGGGGCTTTTCAGCAAATATTAAATACACATATTCGTACTTAATAATATAATGGATGACCTTTATTTCAAATTTTTTTTCTACAAAAGAATGTCTATTTTCCGACTTGTTTTCGCCATTTCGTTCAAAATATCCTCTGGAGTGACTTCAATCTTTCCAAATTTTCGACTATTTCGGGGGGAGTTTGAACCCCCGAAACCCCCCCCCTGTATACGCGCCTGATGAATATACATTTCTCCGATTGTTTATCTGAAACAAATGCATAATTTGCTATCTGTGCTCGAGTTAAATGTTTATGTACGGCCAACAAATTGCTTTAAATTTGTTGGTCAAGTGCATTTAGTCGAGCCGAGCAACTAAAATAAACCTGCCACTACTGCTGCTCCTTCTTCTCCTGCTGCTGCTTCTCCTCCTGCGAAACTTTACAACTGAAACTTCTGCGTTTTATTTAGTTTGTGGTTGGTTGGCAAGTGTTGCAACCGGCTACCGAATTTATGTGCAACACTTGCAACCCTTGCCGCACTTGTTACACACTCACACACACACACACAAACGCACACATGAGACATGTGGAACGTGTGCGCGGAGTTGAAGACAAATCGTTTGCTTTTACAGTGCCACATCCCATGCTGCACAATCAAGACCTTTCACATAATTTATTGATCCTTTTGTGCCCAGGCAGGTGAATGCACTTCAATTTAATCAACGGCACGTGTTTGTGTTTACTATGTAATCAGAGAGACAGTAAAAAGCCAAAGTATTCGATAACTAAAATCGTTTGTAACTGACAATTTAGGAAAACTGTTAAAACAAAATCTAACTGAAATTTAGTAATAATCAAAAACAAGAATTTAATGATCGTTAAGAATTTTGTTGAGCCAAAATTGCCAGTAGATCTGTAATATAGCTATATATACAAATTATTTGTATTTTAATTTCTTGCAACATTTATTTTACTATCCTAACGTAGCTTATGGATAGGACAGATATACATTTCTGCCAAATTTGTATTCCATTTTTAGAAGCACTTAAAGTATCAGTAACATATTTACAAGTAAAGATCAAATTAATTAAGTTTCTAATAATTTTCCATGTGCGATTTTCAATTGAGCTCTTGGCCAAACTAATGCATTCTGTTCGCTGACTTCGTTAACTATCCGCGCCACGCAGCTCATCTTAGCCACGTCTGTTCACGAGGCTGGCAGAGCTCTAAATCTTGAAAACCTATTACATGAAATGCATTAGGCTGCATAAATATCTGCTGACTGTAACATAATTCAGAGCTTGGCCAAAGACATTAGTGGCACGCACGACAGCAGACAGAGTGAGAGCGAGAGAGAGGGAAAGAAAGAGAGAGAGGGAAAGAGAGAGAGAGAAGGAAAGAGATTCATTCGAGTCCTTGGGAACTATGGCTGATTTTGTGCTGCTATCTTTTTGCTGGCAAAATCTTCGACACTTGGTGCTTTGTTGCGAAATGCGCTTGGCTTTCAGTTTAGGCCCTAAATTCACACTCACACATACACACATATATGCACACGCACATAGGAAATGTAGCTGGCTTCTTGGCACAGCTCAAAGTTTACATAGTGACTGCAACTGATACGTGTGTGTGTGTGCATGTGGGTGTGTGTGTGTGTGTATATGAGTAAGTAATGTGAATTCCGGCTTTAACTCTGCAGTGAGAAACGAAAGTTTGTCGATTGTCAGAATTTAAAATATATATTTATTTATAGTATATTTAAACATATATGTTTTTACAAACTTAACAATAATCGCAACCTATAACAATCAGGAGAACTAATATACATATATATTTATATAAATTGTTATTGGTTTTTACACTTTATTCACATTGAGCTCAATTAGTAGTCACATTAAGAAATTAGATGAATGCCTCTTATTCCAGGACACCGACATCAACATCTGTGCAGATCTGATCGCCGCTCACTTTGGCCGCTTTGGAGGCATTAGGGATGCTCGTCAAAACGTTACCGGAGGCCCCCACGGGGAGGAAGTGAGTCGACTTGAGACGCCTGAACAATAAGGATCGCGCTGGGAATACCCTGTAGAAGCAGTCAGCAGCTGTGCCCTATGAGGTACGCCTCCTTGGCCTCCATGCGATGTTATTGCGTTATATTACTTTAGTTATTAAATTTTATTTAATTTAGGTCATACATTAGCTTCTCAGCATTGTTTGGTTCCTCGCAATCGAATGATGCCATCATAAGCTCTGGAAAAACAAAAAATAATTACTTTTTAAATACATTAAAATATATAATATGGATGTATTCAGATAGATATTAATTAGTATTTGATTGGGATTAAACATTATAGGACTTTGTTATTAGAATAGAATTGAATTGCTAGAATTGGATTTGAATTATAAAAAAGAATTATATTTTACGATTCTGATATTATTTAATCCTTGACTTGCATTAAAAATTACAATGAAATAAAATTCAAATTTTTTTCAGGCAATTAATTATTATTATTATCATTAATTATAAACTATAAATTAAATTATTTTTATTTTTTTTTTTTATGAAAAAATTATTTTTATTTTTTTTATACCCTGAACCCATTTTCAATGGGAAATCAGGGTATAATGGTTTTGTTGAAATGTATGTAACAGGGAGAAGGAGGCGTGGCAGACCCCACAAAGTATATATATTCTTGATCAGGGTGACGAGCTGAGTTGATTTGGCCCTGTCCGTCTGTCTGTCCGTCTGTCCGTCTGTCCGTCTGTCCGTATGTATGAACGCGTCGATTTCAGAAGATATAAGTGCTAGAGACTTCAAATTTTTTTTAAAATGTCCGTAATTACAGCGCGCATATCAAGTTTATCATTAAAAATCGATAACTCATCTCGATCTTTTTTTATCGATAAAAAACCTTATCGAAACCCAGTTATAAAATTATATCTTCTACACCTTTATAGCTAGAGTCTCCAAATTTTTAATGTATGCTTATATGCAATTTATACAATTTCGGTTTTTGTTAAAATTTACCCCCCACCTCTAAATTCACCCCCTCACCCTCACTTTTGTAAAAAGCGTATTTCAAATACTAGAGACTTGTGCTTTGGCAATTACATGCATATTCATGTTATAATCATAATCTAAAAGTTTCATGAAGATCGTACGTCCATAAAAAAAGTTATTAAACAATTAAGTTCTCATAGTAAGCGCACACTGCAGCCCATGCGTGTTTATGCGTGGTTGCTTGTATGTGTATGTGTGTGTGTATGTGTGTGTGTGTATGCGTTTGTGTCTGTATGCGTGTGTGTGTGTATGTGTGTCTGTATGCGTGTGTGTGTATGTATACCTGTGTGTGCGTACGTGCGTGTGTGTGTGTGTGTGTTTCTTGTGTAAGCTGAAAGTCGCGAAAAAGTAGTGAAATATCTATTGCTCCAAGGGTTCAGGGGATCTCGTAGTCGAGCAGTCTCGACTAGAGCTTTCTTACTTGTTTTTATCATTCTTTGACTATGTGAAAATAATAATAGATTCAGAAGGGATTCAGGTTGTGTTATGTGAGCACCTTTTGCCGCAAACTACCTGAAAGTGACTTGCAGGTATTTTAGTCCACTCACTCAATAAGTTATTCTATACAGAGCTACAGACATTCTAGTCGCACATAGAATATCTATAGCTCACAATATAAGGTATCTATAGATATGCATTAGTAAGGCTTTCAACCAGTAAGCTCAAACTGTTTCTCGTCAAGTGCATTGCAGGGTATACAAAGTAATTTCATATACACTTCAGAGCTTGTCTAATCGTCGCAAATATATGTATTTAGTTTTAGTAAACGGCCAACAAGCGCCGCTTGACCCGAGCGGACTGTGGGACGCCCCATGCCTTGTTGACTTGCGGTCAAGTGTTTTAGGGCAGTGGCCAAAGAAACCGGGCTTGTAACATTTTAATAGAAAAACAAAAGAACGGCAAGAAAAAACGTGGTTTAATAAAGTTACAACAGACTGGCAACGGGCCAAAAAATATATATATATAAACAAAAAAAAAAATGGATGAAAGATTGAAAGATATGTGCCTCGAGTGCGTTGAGTGTGTGTGAAAGTGTGTGTGTATGTGTGTGTGTGCTGAGTGTTATGCGGCAAAATGTAGCAGCCATGTCCAATTCACACCATGAGACCATTAAAATTCTAGAATGATGCAAAGCGCCTGCTTGTTGGTCAGCGTTGGTCAACAGATGTGTTTTTGACTTGCCACAGAATGCCAGAGTCGCCCGACCGACCGACCGCCCGCCCACCTTTCTCCTCTCCCTCGACCCACTCCCCTTTAGCCACCATAACTCTATACGATTTGAGCCCGCATTTTTAGTATGCTACAGCACAATACGCACATGCTACGACAATACAAAAAAAAATAAGGTGGGTGAGAGGGCGAGAGAGAGCGCAAGAGAGTGCGAGAGCGAGAGAAAAAAAGGGTTGCCCTTGTTTGTGAAAGGATTAAAGCGTTGGTTATGCTATCTACTACTTTTTCCTTGTTCAGTTTTAATAGAGTCGTGTGGGTAAATATTTGTGCACCTCCTTCGTGCGTTGAGGATTTTGTGAAGCGTTTTGTATTGTAGCTCTGGTTTTTCTATGTATGTGTGTGTGTGTGTGTGTGCTCTTCACGAATATTTTGAGTGTTGGGCCTAACAAGCGGCTCTCCGAATGGTCAACAGCAAGTCGAACAAAAAAACGTAACAAAATTTTTTTAATGTTCAGGTTTTTTTTCCCCATATTTTTGGCACTAGCTTCTCTTAGCTGGCTGTAGGAAATTCTACAGCCTGATTGCACTATGGACTTAAATGAAACTACTTTTGATTAAGAATTGTCCCAATAAACTTGGCTACTGATTGGCTAGCCAATGAAAGCACTGGCGATGGCAATTGATTGCGAAGCTGATTTTCTGTTGAATTTGGAAGATATACAGCTGCATAACTAAAATGTGTTAATTTTTGATTGCTTGCAAATGAGTGAAGAATGCAATTATTTTGCCAGCTGCTGCCTTTCATTTATTTTGCATTTAAATTAAGCTTAGCCATTCTAATATCTATGTAGGATTGCTCTTAAATGACTTGACGTACGCTAGGCTCAATTCGTCAGATTCTAGTTAAAGCTTATCATAAATAACAGATTAATGAGTGGCTCATAGACATCACACACACATGGAGACAAAGACAAATAAACAAAATCTTCTCCAAATAAGGGGGTTTGGCTTGTAATTAATTAATGCAAATGTGTTGTTATAATATAATACTGATGTACAGATTTCACACACCCTACAGTTGACATAAATGTATGATGCAGAAATATACATGCATACATACACATGTATATATATATTATATTCAGTATTCATATACATATATACGCCATCTACATTTTCATTTTATATGATTTTTAATATTTTTTTCTGGTGTACAAAATAATTGCTAAATGGCTCAAGTAATAGAGGATATAATTTTTTCAATATTTCATATTCAGTATATTCTGTTGTACTTCTAAAAATATCAAGCATGCGTCTTGGTAAACTATCGAAATATATATATGTATAATACAGTAAAATCCGGTTAAAACGACTCCGTTTATAGCGTTCGTATGATTATGGGGATGCAACTTCTGGCTATTGCGTCTTCAGGGTATAACGACGGTCCCTTGAACGTCGTTTTAAATGGATTCTACTCTACATATATGAAATATAATAAATATCCACATACAGATAGACGGTAGGTACATATACCTTTACATATACATATACATTGAGATATATATATATATTCATATGCAGCCTTACATATAACATACATACATATTCATATATACATGCATATCTACATCATCTTCACACATATAACACCATTTATACCTCGCTCTATGCTAGGCTGTCTAATGACATAGCCTAAACACCTACTCACACACGCACACACACACACCTTCTCCTCTATGGAACTGTATAAATTAGTTGAATTTAACTAGAATCTAGTTTTCTGCTCTGTTCAGTTCTCCTTTTGCGGTGAGTGAGAAGGCAATTTGCTGTTGGTCTGTGGCTTTTGTATGCTGCATGAATAATGTCCTTCATATTTGGCCAACAATTGATTGGGATGATTGTAATGTAAGCTCAGTGTGCCTGACCTTACCGAGCGAGTGTTAAATGGCTTCTGGCATGACATTTTATGTGTGCTCATAAAATTGTCATACAAATTGCCATTAAATTTTGAGCATTTAACAAGGCCAACACCGACACACGCCTAAACACACACACACACACACACACACACACACACATATGTATATGTATATTCTTGTTGAGCATTTCATAAGTGCAGTTACAATACTTGAATATTTCAATTTGAAATTCCTTGGCGCTGTTAAAGCAAATACACATTATTCATTTCTCTCGCTCGGCAAACGTTTTGCTGATTCATTTTGCTCCGCTTTGGTATTTGCTAAATTCATTTAGTTTTCACAGACCTTCAGCTCGCATGGGCTGCTGTCCCTGGATAACCTTAAGGCAGCCAAAGGCTGCTTGACATTAAGCAATGTAGGTGTCTGCATGTGTGTGTGTGTGTGTCAGCAGGATATGTGCCGGCACGTCCGATGTTAACACCCTTCAGACTGACAGTTGCTACAACAGACAGGCTTACAGCCAGCATGCCGTGGGTCTGACCAAAAGAAAGCCTCTAGATTGCTTTCATGTGGCAGCTGAAGATATTTCCATTTTTTTTTATATATATTTTTTTTTTTTGGGCCCAATGATGTACAATCATGCTCGCATATCTTTAAATTGTGGCACAAATATATATATATATATATATTTTTTTTTTTTTGAGGACAGTAATTAAATTTGCTGGCACACATAAAGTTTTCGTTGAAGGCAATTTATTGTAAAACAAAATCATATTGTGCTCTATGCAATTTCTTATCAGAACTTTGGATTTTTATTTATGGCCTTAGATGCTTGGGAAAATCCAATGAAAATATGCATTACAAAAAGCTTACATGTGCACATGGTCAAAACATTATAACTTCAATTGAAATTTCTAGCAGCTGCATATACTGCAGTTGCTTGGTAAAATGTGGCTGAATTTATAAATAAACAGCAAAAGCTGTATATAATTCTCCACTCAGCTGCTGCTCGGATTATCTGTGTGTGTATGGGTGTAAGCTTTGTGGAATAAAAGTGGCAAAAACTACAGGTAATCCGCTTAAATCACAGTCAAAGCTGAAAAAAGTTGAAGAAGCGCTACTGTAAATAATACATTATCAAATGAAAACTGTGAATAAAATTTCGTTTTTATAGCCATGTTGGTCTTTTATATTGAATGAAAATATTGTTATAGAAAATTCTGCATTTATTCGAATGTATTTTCGAAACATTTTTGATTAAAATTAAACTCACTCAAGAACTACTTCAAAAGGCTTATCTACAATTAATTGAATGCACTTTTTCATAATAGATCGTTTTCTACTCAGTTGAGTTAGTGGCTTATTGCATTGAAAAGGGCATAAAATAATTTTTTTTTTTAATCTAAAAAATTAAGGAAGCAAAGAGATGTTAATAAAGCATCGTAAAATGCCCGCAGCTTAGCGGTTTTCTCGCTGCCTGCACCTGGTCGGCTACCTGCAGCCACTTTCGGCTTGTCAATAATGCCAAGGAAAAGCCTTGAAGCTAAAATGCATTTTCCAAACTCCAAAGCAGCCCAAATTACTTAGATAACAACGAAAATGACTTGACTGCAAAAATATTTATTTATAGCGAGCAGCAGCAGCAGCAGCAGTAGCAGCAGGAGTAGCAGGAGTTGTATTTTGAAGGAAAAAGTGTGCTCTAAACGTGACAGCAAAGTTTTTAAGACGCCTTTTGCATTTCACGTCGTTGACGTTGACTTCAAGTATTTGGCGTAACTTTCAAGTTAGAGGACACTTTTGGATTTTGTGGCTCAAACGAAACCGATTTAGAAGTTCCCCTGTTAGCTGGACCATGACAAAAACCCAACTAGCGCAGAATAAATGACTTGGCCAGGGACAAAAACAGATGGTTGGCGTCAAGACAAAGGACGGATTTCAAAGATAATTTCTTATATCAAAAGACAATATAAATATATATAATATTACGAGGTGGGCTTTATTTTGCTCGCCAAACTAAAGAGGGGAATGAGAGGATTACGCTACGCTATGATTGCGCAGATAAGACATTGAAGAAAAACCAGCAAAATCACAAAAGAAAATTGTTCTTTTTTTTTTAGAGTAAACTTGGTAGAGAGAGTAGCAGGGATTAATAACTTCGTAAATAACCTTTGTATTTACAATATTCCTAACTAACTATCGACAGCCTCATCGATAAATGTCTGTCTATTGATAGTTAACCATAGTGCTGTTCTCTCTAATCTCTTATTGCTCTACCACAGTATATTTTTATTAGATTTTGCGTCATTATGGGCACATAAAAACTAGATAGATTTAAAGAAAGTTCTGCTTATGAATCATTATTTGATTTAGATTTTTATTTATTTTTTTTCCTTTTTTCATATTTATAATAAATAATAATATTCTTAAATAATAATACAATACACAATATATAATCTTACATGGAGTAAAGCACTGTCTGCAGTGCATTCTGGTTCACCACTAACGCTATAGATGTTTTCATAAATTCATTCTAACAAAAAAAAAAAAAAAAAAACAAATATAAAAAAGCATTTATTTATTTTTAATTTCGTGCCACCTCAAAGCATTTGCTTGAAAGAAGCCCTGCCATAATAGCTTATGAATACTTTAGTACTTTACTCATTTTTCTTCTTCTTATCATTTGAGGCACATTGCTCGACTGTTTTGGTAAAGTTTTATATCTTTGCATGAGCTGAAAGAAGTTTGTAAATTGCATTTACCTCACATTAAGCTCAACATCAGGCGTTTTTTAATAAACTTTTGGGCGACATGTTAAGTCTCAGTTGCAGCTGATGCTTCACAATTTGAAGAAAATGAGAGAGTAAGAGAGTGAGCAAGAGAGAGTGAAGAAATCATAAGAAAAAATCCAAGCTGAGCCACAACTTTTCATTCTTTTGCTTGTCGTTGGCAGGATGCGTTTTTGCAACGAAGACACTTTTTTTCTGTTTTCGTTTTTTTTTTTTTTAATTTGAATTTTTTTTTATTTTGTGAACGACTTTGTTGTTTGTCGCCTGTGGCAAAAGCCTTCAAAGTATCTTACGCTTCTTGGGTTTATAATGAGTTCGGTCTATATGGACCTTTCATTTCAGCACTATGCGTCTATTTCTTCTTTTATTTTCTCTCTCACTTTTGATGTCGCCCTGCAACGACCTGTTTGTGTTCGTGTTTGTGTGTGTGTAAGTGGGTGTCTGTGTGTGTGCACAAGCCGTGAAAAATATCTTAACGTGCTGGGCATGCTGACAGCTCAAAGAAGGATTTAAAAACTTTTTTTTTTTCTTGTGCCTCGGTTGCAGTGCACGTGGTGCCAGTGCAGTAGTTGTTGTTGTTTTTGTTGTTGTCACTTATTCGCATGTCCAGCTGCGTGCGCTCAAAGGACCTGTAAGGCATTCCAAGTGTTTACATATTGTGCACGAGGCTTAAAGCGCAAGGAAGACATTAATTGATATCTTTATCATGTACTAATTTATTAATTTCCCGTTGCAGCATTTAAATCACATATATTTTTTTTTATCAAGCACATAAATTCATAAGCTGCTTAGCAAAGGAAATATTTTAGAATTTTCCTTGAAAATTTGTTTGCAGCTTAACGAGGCGAAAATGAATTTTCGTTAAAAAAAAAAGGAAGGATGAAGAAATAAATGTGCGAGGCAAGCGCTGCGCGTTAAGAGAGCGCAAAGTTGTTATGAATAACGCAACCCTTTTGTGGCCATAAAGTTTATTTCTCGCATTTTATTGCGGCTATTCATACAAATTAATTAGCAACAAATTGCTGTGCCACTGGTCCTGAGGGATAACAAATTATTGCCTTAGATTTCAAAATGGTTTTGCCGCAACTCTGCAAAAGCTTAAAGAGTGCGAAAATGCGTTTCACCCCTTGCCAGGCATTAATTATAATAGTTTTTACTTGCTACTTACACTAAGTAGCTGAAAGAAATGAATTTACGAATGCAAGTGAAATTAGAGATGTGTTGGATTGAGAATTTTAATGAGTCGTGACACGAGTGGGAGGCAAAGTTGGAGGAAGTCAAATAGAATAGAATCTCGAATTGCAAATGTGTGGCATATAACTTCAAATACTTCCAATTAGAGCAGCGACTTCATTTGGCAGTCATATTGAATATCATCTCTAATTGGAAATGTGTAATATATAATTTGATGTGTGTTCCAATTAGCTATTCTACTGAGCAGAGCTAATATGAAATGACCTGATACTGTGAAATTAATAGCAGTTTCCCAACTGGAGTTTGCAACCTGCTGCAGTAGTATTAGTGTGAGACTGAGAGTTTGCATAGTGTTACTTTAAATATAAATGAGCTGGTTTGTGTCTTAGCTACACGTAGCCTATTTCAGTCTCGTACCCGCTCACTCCCTCTGTGATATAAAGAGAGAACAAGAGACAAACATAGCTGTTGCCCTCTCACTATCACTCAATAATGAGTCTTACTGAACGTAATAAAGTCTGTTGCTGAGTGAGAGCGGGATGGCTATCAGGCGATTAGAAAATATCATTCGGCAAAAGCCAATCATGAAAAAAACTCACACCAAAAAATTCGTGTATATGGCTCAAATGTAAATAAATTAAATTCATATGAGAAGTGAACAAATATATAAATTTTTTTTATATAAATGTTAAATAATCCTATCCTTTATATAGGTCTTGTCTCTATATAATAAAATAACAAAACGCTTATAAAAGTACTTAAATTTCTACTAATTACAAATTAAGTTTTTACCTATTAGTATTATTTTTATGTATACAATTATTTAAGTCGTGTTCGTAATTTCATATAATTTTGAATTTATCACGTGCGAGCATTGGTCTTTCTCTCTCGTTTACATTTTAATTGCCCCGTTTGTGGAATTACGCGCAATGTGCACTGGGCCAGCTGCACTGCATTTAGTTTTACATTTAAAAACGTAAGTAGCACACACACACTTGGTCACACTCACACACAGATGTACTCTGCTACTCACTCTCCACGCACATATGCTCATTCATGGAGGCACTTTTCCGGGCCACTTGAAGTCATTGCCAGTTGGCCGAGGTGCACTTAAAGTTTCCACCAAGCAAACAAAAACAAGCTAAAATGTCGACTTGAGCCCGTGGAAAATGTGAAAAAAGCGATAAAGTACGTGGAAAGTGCAGAGAATAAAATGTGCAAAAATAAGTAAATGAGAAAAAAAAGCGAGGGGAAAATGTTGCCTAGTGCTAGGTTTGATTTACAATATTACTTACCCGCTTCGCTAAGTTTCGTAGTTCGCTGCATATGGGTGCAGAAGTGCTCGTACTCGCCGCTAGATGGCGCCTGTGTCGGTTTCATTGCCTGCATGTGCTTGGTAAAGGCGCCCACAATGGCCGCCATTCGATCGAAGGCAATCACATTGATGTGGCCATTCGGTAAGCTGAAAAAGAGTGAGAGAGAGGGGAATATCACATTTGCTACTATAGTATGCAAAACTGTTAGCAATCTATGTGATGAGTGCCAGAGGGAGAGGGACAGATGTGGGGGGCATATGCATATGTATAATGGGTGCCACGGCCGATAAAATATTCCAAAGCTGCAATTTAATGCATATTTCACTCGTCTATGCAAAGTGCTATTAAAATCAGCGACTGCTCGGTAATTGCGGGTTTGATTAGCGTTTCCATCAGCCGATTTATGTGCACACATCAATTGCTTTCAAATGCTGCTCTGTGAATAGTTGAGCAGACGATTTGAGATACGAGCTTAAGCTCGGGCGGGCATATTAAATTGAGGCATCTATGAAATGTGTAGGGACTAGAGATTTTAGTAATGGCCTTTAATTGGGTAACTGGGCATGACATTGTTCAGAATTGGGAATCTGCAGAGAATTAGCATGCGCAGATGTAAAGGTGCTTGAAAGGCGTTTGAATGAGGTTTCAAGGGGGCTTGAAATGGGTTCATACTCAAGTTTTTCGGAATCTAAATATTGTTTCAAGAATATATAAACTTTTCATAATCAACCTAAATTGCTGTTTTATAGCATCGATTTTTTTCTTGTTTACAAATTTTAATTTATTTATAGACTTTGTCAGTTTTCACCCCACCTGTTATATTATTTTTAGCAACATTAATTTAGAATTTTTAATGCCTTGTCTCGCACATGGCGTATGACAATGTATTTTGCATTCATTTTTAATGCTTGTATAACAATGAATAATTAAAATGCGCAGAGGATATGTGTATACTCGATTTCAGCCGTGTCATTTGCACTTGCGAATGTTTCAAATAATTATTGTTTATCTTGCATGAGTCTGTGGTTAATTAAATAAAACAGAAACACGCCCGCTGCTCACACAGAATTCATCAAAATTCGTGCAGCCAACATGGCGTATGCGCAATGCTAATCATGTAAAAAGAATGTATTTATTTATTGTCATATTCCTGATAGACTTTTTCAATAAAACGTGACAGGTAAAGTGAATGGCTTTAAATAAAATAAAAATAACAATAAAATGCGGGATCAGAAACTCACCATTGTAAACAATTTTCCCGTTCGGCCAGCGCCAATTTAACAATATCCGCAAACACTGGAATAACAACCCAATCATTGGGCTTGCCACAAATAGTTGGGGCTGCTGCTGTTGTTGTTGGTGTTGGTGTTGGTGTGACTGTGGCTGCCTCTACATTGCTGCTGCTGCTGCTGCTGCCAGCCGTGGGCACCTCTAGCGACGCCTTCTCCAATGACGCTGGCATTGCATTGAAACCGGAAATGCCTGTTATGCCAACTGGCTGCCCACTGGCACTTGTCGATGGCTGCTCAACCAAATCTTCCAGAGCAGCGGATGACGAGGAGATGGAGGGGTTTATAGTTGTTGTTGTTGTTGTTGTCGGTGCTGCTGCTACTTCCACTGCTGCCGATGATGTTGCTGATGAGTTTTTCGCTATCGATGATGATGATGTTGATGATGCGGCCCTAGGCTGCTTATCAGTCTTTAGACTTTGCTGCTGCTCATTTAGAACGATTGCCTGCTTCTGCCATAAATGCCCGTGTCCTTCGGCATGCCGTTGCATGCAATCCAATTGTTGACATGTCACTTGCAATTTGCTCCACTGTAATAAAATGGAAATACGTACATAAATGAACAGACTTTCTGCGCTCTCTCCCTCTCTATATATGTGAACATGTGTGTGTGTGTGTGTGTATATGTGGTGCTTCATCCAAATGGAAAATATCTTTAATTCGTTTTATTTGCGTTATTCGTGCCTTGTTTCGGGGCGCTGTAAAAGTTTATGGTTTTGTTTTTGTGTGCCGCGCTTTATGTCTGTAATTTGCGCTTAAGCTTTCTATCGCATTTTATGGTGCGACATTTGGCTTTAGATAAGATTTTAATTTGGATATTCTTAAATGGGACAATAATTACAACAAATCTAAACTTTAACTCCAGACACACACACACACACACACACACACACATGTGAACACATAAATAAATCATTCCATTTATATTCTTTGTATTTTTGCAAGACTTTAATATACGACTTAAAGTTGCGGAATAATTTTTATGCTCTATGCTGACATATTTATGGTTATCGCTATTCTGCATTCCTAGTCATAAACATTTCACTGGCCTGCAGAAAATATGTACAAATAAAATGAAAATAATGCCATACAATGCCACGCCGTTGCACAAGTTATTCCATAGGTCTCTGAATTTATGCAATTCGGTTTAATTTTTTGCCATCCATTTTTTCGTGCATCCTTTGTGCATTGTGCAATTTACTCTTTTCACGCAGACAAACTAAAGCAAGAAAAAAAAAGTATGTAAAAATAAGGAAATGAGTGGAAGTTAAATGAAAAGAATTCTCAACCTGAATTGTGTAATGAATACAATGAAAATGGCATTTAAAGTATCTAACGCTGAGGCAAGTGAATGGCCCGAAATTATTATTATTTATTTTTGTTAAGGGGCCTCAGAGTTACGACGAATCCATTAACTAATTACAAAAAATTGTTATGAAAACTGGCTTCATTTAGCGAACGCCCGGCCGCAATTGAAGCATTTGCGGGCGACATGCCAAGTAAATAGGAAAATAAAATACAAAATGGCTAGAGAAATATGTAATTTTGATAAAAATTGTGCCAAAGCAGCGTGGGCGAATGCTCGATGTGGTTACGTGGGCGTGGTCTAAAATTTATTCTTTTCATATTTATTTGACTGTTTGGCTTTTGGGTTTGGGCAGGCACAAGAAAAGCAAATGGAAATTTAAATGGTTTGATTAAAGTTTTTTATTCCGTACTTTTCGGAAAGTCAAGGTGTGGCCCGAATGGATTTTATTTATTTCAAGTTGGGAAGTTATTAATAACATTATGTTGTGCGAGAGTTGTATAGAAAGAATATTGCATTTTGAATTACCGTGGGCTAGGCATGCTTGGCATATCATTTTCGATATTTTATTATATTTTAGCAATTAAATTCTCTTCCTTGTGCCAACAAGTTTGCCAATGCCCAATATATTTTCACAGCTTTTGCTTGGAGGTGTGCCACAGTCATTTTATTCCTTTGTCCTCGCCTTTGTTACCTTAACTGAAAGTCTCACGAAAGAACGGAGCTGCGCTACGATTCAGCAGAGCAAGACTTAATCTAAGGAGCTGTTGAAAAAGCTCACAAGAAAAGATTTTTTTAAATATATGGAAGATGGGAACAAAGTTGGAGCAAGCTAATAATATCTGATGAGGATTACGAGGTTAATTATATAATGATGTCATATATATATATAAAATAATAATAATAATTCTTGAAAAATACAGAAATCTCCCAATCATTGGAGCACAGCTCGTAAAAGAGATACTAGAAATTTCTGCCTAACAAATTCTAGTCTCAGCTAAACATCTCACAGTAAAAAGTCCACAACCATATAAAATTATTTAATGGCTACCCGTCCGCACTTACCGTTATTTTAAGTCTCGCTATGGCAGGTGATTCGAGTGACTCCAAGATGGCCGTGGCGCTGTTGTAATTGCCCACGAGCAGACAGTACTGAGCAACGCCGCTCCATAGCTCAACCGTTCGGCTGCGGTCCTCAATTCCGGTGCACTGCAAATCAAGCTGTTAGATGTTGTTTGTTTGCCTGGGATAGTTTGGGAAGCTCGGACTGGACTTGGACTGGATGGCAGCACAATGGCAACTCGGTCTGAGACCACGTGACTTCACTAAAACTTTAACGAGTCACTTACACGGCCAACTGACAAACTGTCGATGGCCAAGTTACGAGTGGCATAAATTATATGCCAGCCTCGACCTGCTCAGCTATGCACACAGAGGCGGCGCATCGAGGCATCCATCAGGGGGCACGTATGTGTGTAGCTGTGCATATTTGACAGCGCATGGGATTTTAATTCAATCCACAGGGTCGACGGTAGCTACCCAAACACCCTCCACATTCGTTACGAATATGTTAACTTGGGCGCGTGACAAGCAGCAGCGGGACATGGCTATAAGCTGTATACCTCACCTGCAGTATCTCGTTGCAGACAAACAGGCGCAGACGTGCCGACCAGTCCAGATACGTTTCCAGATTACAGGTCTTCTTCGGGTCCTGGACACCTGGCGGTCCGCTCGATGAGATAGGTTGGTCCCATTTTTTCTGTGCATAAGCGATTTGCTGTGTTAATGAGGCTAGTTATGGAAGGTGTGTGTGTGTGGGATTATGCTAATGTGAGTATTCTAGGAGAGTGAGTTAAGCTAGTTAGCTTTGGGAATTAGAGTGCTTGGGGGTTTGTTAGTATGAGGTATAATTTGTATCATTTTTTTAAAATATTATTTAATATTATATCTGCATGAATGACAATATGACTGATTGATTAACTGATTAATTGATTGATTGAAATGCTAAGTAATTGACTAATTGATTAACTGATAGATATAACTGATTGATGGACTGATTGGCTGATATATCAGTTGACTGATGTACTAGTTGATTGACTGATTGATAGATTATTTGACTGATGTCCTACTTAGCTGACTGATAAGTCAGTTGATTGATTGACTGGTTGGCTGATTGATCAGTTTAATGATCTAGTTGGCTGACTGATTGATTGAAACACAAAACACTCGACTGATTGATTGACTGATAAATAAGATCAATTGACTGATGTATTAGTTGAATGACTGATTGAATGGTGGACTAATTGATTGATCGACTGATTGGGTGATGGATCAGTTGACTGATTGATTAATTGATTGAAATGCTGATTGATGATGATTGGCGGATTGATTGTCTGATGTACTTGTTGGATGACTGATTGATTAACCTATAGATGAGTTGTCTGATGTACTAGCTAGCAAACGATTGATTGACTGATAGTCTAGTTGGTTGATGTATAACTTATTGATGGTATCTTACCTGCTTATCCAACAGCACCATGCTGCTGCACTGCACAAACTCCTCTGGGCCAATGTGCTTGGCCAGCTTCTTTTCCAGTCGGCACAATATTTGTGCATATTGAGTGGCTGTGGGGCAGTTGATTGGTGCAACGACCTGCAGTAAAGTTGAGTTTAAATAAACTATATGTAAGTATATGCTCGTATATCAAGTCGACTCAAACTCACCTTGTCACTGCTGGTCTGGCAGGCACGCAGATCGGCTTCGTGCTGCTCTAAATCAGTCAAACGTTGAAGTAAGGCACTTAGTACTTGGGAGACTATGGCTTCTAAATGTGAATTGGAACATCTACAAACAAACGTAGTGAATGTAACCCATTAGGAGGCTGCTCCACACTCAGACAAACAAATCCTGCTCACCTAGCAACGATATGTTTTACATGATTCATCATGCGCTCGTCACGATAATCGTATGGGAACTTCTGCGTCCACTCGGCCAACAGGGCGACCAATGTCTCCAAACACTTGCCCTCGGCCACCGAGGCCAGCAGTTTGCCGAGCAGCTCGTGAGGCCGCATGAACAGACGTGACGACAATAAAAATGAGAACAGAAATTCCTGCAAAAGATAAACACGAGTGCGATATTAGTGTAGCTCAAATAGGGCGACCCACTGAGCCACCACAATTGAGCTGAGGGAGCAAAGTATTCCATTAGCTTCATCTGTTGGTTATCGCCCCGTCTGTGTGCTGTGGCTTTGCTGCCTTTTCCTAGGGCTGTGCGCTCGCAATTTCCTTGCAATGAGCCAATTATTTTTTACTCTTGCTGCTAGTGATTCATTTCCTCTCCACATTCTTGTGGAAGTCCTACTCTTACCTCTTTCGGTCTCTCATTCTAGTTTTTCTACTTCTCTCTTTCTCTCTGTCTCTCTCATCCTGCCAGTTTATTGAATTATTTCCTTATCTTTCTTGGACTACTTTACGGGTTTGAGCACTATCTGCTCTTTGTTTTCAGTTTTCAGCTTCTGTCAAACAAATTAGCTTTGCGCTGAACTTTAAGTTTGGGTTGCAGCCTTTGCTTTAAGGCATTATAATTATAAGCATTTTAAAATGGTAATCAAATTAAATATGAGAAGTTTGGGTAGTTTGCTTTTGTCAGAGATTGTATGGGAGCTGCAGAAGCAGTCACGCTCGTATTTATTAAGGTTAGGGTAAAGGTAATAAAACGTTAAAGCTTCGTTACATAATTTCGATTTCGATTGTATTTTACTGTATAGTAGAACTACGTAGATTTCAAGCCAATCCCGCAGGTATTTTCTTCTACTGCCTTAGCATTAAGAGATGTTTTTCATTTATTTTCAAAACAATAATAGAAGAAAATAGGAAAGAAAATAAAAATAAAATAAAATAAATTTAAAAATATCGTAAATAAGTTAAATAAAAAATTCTCATAAACAAATAAAAATAAATATTTATAAGACATAAAATTACAAAAATTAATAAAAAAATAATAATAGTAATAAAAAATAGTAAATAAGTTAAATAAAAAAATATATCAAAATTAATAAATTATAAAAAGTCTCACAAACAAATAAAAATAAATATTTATATCATATATATTTACAAAAATGATTAATAAATTATAAATTTTTAAAGCATATATCTAAATTTAAAACAATTTGTTAGCCCCGCATGCTGTAGGAGCTTAATAATTAAATTATACCATAAATTTATTTAAAATCGTCATAATGCTTACCTTATCTAAGTCCATGACATTTTTGGGATTGAGCACCTCGGGGAATGATTCAAGAGGGCCGGAAACAATTTTACCATTTATATACATGATGCCGCCGGCACCCAAAACAGAGCTCTGCAAGCCGAACAATGGGAAGCAAACAGAAATCAGCGTGAAAGTCATGAAATCAATAATTTGTTTTTAATTAACTACCTCAAAGTTGATATCACATTGGCTGCGCTTGTGCGTATTTTTGGGCACATCATACTGAACGGGGTCATCCTTTGCTGCGAGCTGCAAATCAGAATCACAAACACAATTGCATTCACATTCACAATCAATTCAAACTCATTTCAAATCAGTTTTGATTGGCACCTTGAACTGCTGCAGTCCCAGCTCCAAATCGTGTGCACTCAGTTGCTCGGCGCTGTGGCGACGCCGCAGTCGCATGCCCTCGTTGGTGAAGCCCAGCTCGAGGCCCAGCTGTGCGGCCTCTGCATTCGCGCTGCTGGCATTGAGCAGAAAAATGCCCACATCTGGCTGAGCTGTGGCATCGTCCAGGACGTTGTCGTGGCCACAGCAGCCGTCGTCGGCGCTCGTCTCGCTGTCGGAGCTGCTCTCTGGGCAGCGGCTGGTGCGTCGTCTGCTCCGATGTCGATGGCGATGTCGCCGGCATTTGTCCTTGTCTCGATCCCGCGATCCACGCGACTTTTGCAGCACGGCTTGCTTGCAACGCGCGCCGCAGACAATGGCCGATATCTTATTGGCATAAAAGTACATCGCCATGTGTCACGTTCTTGGTGCCGCCCGTAGCACGGTCATGTGTGTTTGCTGTGGGACTGCCTTTGGCTTTGGCTCCGTGCAATTGGGTTCGGCCGATGCGTGAATTTAATGCACAAGCACGCCCAGCACACCAGGCAGCCTGTCGCTGCTGCGAATTTCAAATTCAGGCAATCCTATCTTACGCTGCACGTAGCTAAATTCAGTCAGGTGCGTGCGCAATCACATGTCATTGGCGTCGAGCTGAGTTTTTCCTTTCAGGCATCTCTGCACTTTCTGAAAGCAACGAAAATATCAGACAAGCAGTTTATGACTCGCTGACGCGGCAACAAGTCAGCGTTGGGGTCAATCGAGCAACATCACTCATACGCCGCATAGCCTATAAAAATAGAAGAGAGACAGAGAGAGAGAGAGAGAGGGAGGGAGAGAGAGAGAGAGAAACTCTGTGAGCACTGAGTAAATCACATCCGTTAGGCTCGGACTATTATCCCTTTGGGGCCACTTGGCACTCATCAAGCCACAGATTTCTCTCTCTGTGTGTGTGTGTGTGCGTGGGCCATCAATAAGGGCGTTGCCCTTGAGGGTGGACAGCCTTTCAATTCAATGTTTCTCTATCAACTTGGCTCGATGCAAATCATTGAATCTCTGCCGCTACCGAGGCGAAAAAAGGGATTTTGGGGAATAGATACTTTTACTTTAATATTAACTCTAATTCAACTTTAGTAACCGATTTGGGAAATTTATTTATTTATTTATTTTTTTTTTTTTGGCAATAAATAGATGTCTACACCAAAACTTAATTTAAATATAATTATCAGTTGTCATTGTCACATACAATAAAAATATATTATCAAATTAATGCAGGAATGGGTTTTTTTTTTTTTTTTCATTTCACCTATTTAAATTTGTAAACCTAAATATTATATTTATTTAAAATTTAATTATTGATTTATTAATTCTTGTAAATCAGTTGCCATTTCTATAAAATAAGTTCATTAACAATTGTGTGCTGCATGTGAGAAACGCTTCAAAAAACTTTCACCTGCAGCCATAAAAACTCAGCAGCGCGAAAAAGTCAGATGACATAATATATATTCATTTGATATTCGATATGCTGTGGCATGAGTGTATTCATGAAAAAAAAAAACTGCGCACAGAAAACTGAACACGTGCGACTGGCAGTACATATTTATTTATGACTTAATGGAAACGTGTGTGTGTATATGACTTCTTTTTGTTTTTTTTGTCCACCTGCTCACCTGCCCACCTGCCCACCTGCTCGCCTGCTTATGCAAATGAGATTGGATGGTTGGATGGCGAAAAAAATCAAATACATCTGTTTATTCTCAAGTAGCTGAAGAAGTTGGCACTGGAACAGTAATGCGACTTGACAGCTCAAGTATGACATACAATCAGCGATAAATTAGAAACCAGCTCAGCTGATAGCAGAGCTCTCAGCTAAGCAGGAGCTATTTATTTTGTTTATCAAAGAACAGCCACCGCATGTGAACAGCTCTGACAGCAGACACGAAAAGGGTAGGCCTAAATATGCTGGCATATTATCGAAAAGAGGGCAAACAGTTGTTGCATGGCCCTATCTTTATGTACATCTACAACTATATATGTATGTGTAAACGTATATAGATTCATATATTTACATATTGTGTTGCCTACATTTCGGGGCTGGACATTGCGATGCTCAGGCGAGCACATAACTCATGATATGATATGTGCCATAAGCTTGGATACGTTTCGCTGGGCACGCTGCCAAAACTTTCCCCTTTTTTTAACAAACGAAAAAATCAGTAGTTGAAGAAGAGGAAGATTGGCAATAAAATAAATCTTCTGACAGAAACTTATTAAAATTCCAATCATGCTTACGGCGAACAGCGAGCTCAACATGTCGAGCGCTGAAAATAAAATAAATAAATATGTATACACATACAGACATATTTATTTGTATGTATGTATGTATGTATGAAGAGGGGCCTGTCGCCTGGCATGTTTTCAATTTGAATATTGACAACGCACTTGTCCGGCATTAAGGCAGCTAATCCCGAACTCAACTCATTTCAATATTTTCTCGATTGGTCGCACAGCGCTAAAAAAAAAGGAAAATGAAATTGGCTGGGCATCTTTTCTGCCAACGCCTCCAACATTGTCAAAAACATGGGATAAAATCAATCAATTACATATGTATGCATACACTATATATATATAGATATATATGCATATAAATATATATTTATACGACAGCACTTGTCCAGCTCGCATCGTAATAGCGTAAATTATTGTGAGGCAATAGGCGTGTCATAGGAATTGAGAATTGAGAATCTGAATTGCTGTGAAGTTTTTTTTTTTTATGAATATAATACTTATATAAACTTAAGTATTTTTATGGGAATAATTATACCCTGAACCCATTGAAAATGGGAAATCAGGGTATAATGGTTTTGTTATATTTATATTTTCTTTTTAAATATATATGAAATTAAATTTTATAGCAACGCCCTGAAAATTAAGATTGGATTATTGGCTATAATAAATGCTAAGTGAAAATAGTTTATGATGGCAATTGGAACTATTCCCAACTATTTCAACAATGGCATATTTTATAATTAAAGTGAGAGAATAAGCAACAAAGTGCCAATTATAGCTCATACAATTCTGAGATTCAGATTCAAAACTCAAACACCTAAAACATTTCTTTCTTAACCACTTGCATGACATTTTGTTTGCCTGTTTAATATCTACCACATAGGTTGTGAATAATTTTACGAATAAAAGTTATACTCAAAGCTAAAGCTAAAACTATAAGCTGAGCTCTCTGCTTATCTTCTCCAATATTCATTATAGTTGCGTTATTTACATAATTACTGCAGAATTTTTTGTTTAGTTTCACTTTGCTGTGAAAGCTTTATTAAACTTCCGATAATAAGGCAAACAGCTGTTTTTATTATAGCATGTCGAAAAGTAAACGTAATCAAAGCAAAATGTTTGCTTAAATTAAAATAATGTTATTGCAAATCTCATTAAGTGCAATGAATTTTCGGCTAACATTAAGTTTTATTAAAAAATTAATATTCAAATTTAATTTTGTTTTCGCTTCAGTGCTTTTTTTTGTTTTTTTTCAATGAATATCACATCATTTACAATTTATTTTGCTTTAAGTAAATATTTTTATTAAAACATATATAATGATAAAATGATTTCACTCAAAATTTTGTTATTTATTAAAATATTTTTTTTTTTCCAAAAATTATATACTTTTTACTTTAATTATATACCATACTTGTTTTTCTGAATTCCAAATTTTGTTTGCTAAGTAAATAATTTAATTAAAATTAAAATAGAATACACTTGAAAATAATTTAAATTCCCTACAAAATTAAAAAAAAAAAAAAAAAAAAACAAGAAAGCAAAATGTTCATTGCAAATTCACCAAAATGTTATGCAAAGCAGAATTTTAAAAGAATTTGTCGAACTTGTGTCAAGCTTGAGCGAAATATCATGATGGGTGGCAAGAACGGCAGCAGCTGCTGTAAATTTGTCGAATCTATTAGCATAAAAAGCAAAGCTCAAGATAAAATCAAACTTATGCTGACGATGTTGTCAACAAGGCGAACAACAAGCCAACTGCGAGCTGCTGTAAACAAATGATAATAACAACAAATTGCGTGGTTTTTCTTTCCAGCAAGAAAAACTTTTTAGCAAAAAAACAAAAAACAAAAAACAAAAAATAGATAAAAGTCTCTTCTTTTAGCTTGCAGCATGCAGTTGCTGAACGATGTGTGCGATGTTTCTTTTTGTTTCTGTCATTCGTTTCATTAGTTGTTTCAAAGAATCGCATCGGCTCTTGGGCTCCAGTTAACTTCTGACCCTGTTGAGGCTCTCGTTGTTGTTACGCAATGTGTTTACAGTTGGGCAACATATTTTCTTTATGCTCATATATTTCAAGAAAGGTTTCCCGTTTTGTTTCTTTTTCTAGTTTTTGTTTTTCTTCCGCTCAGTCAATTATCTGTATTTGCGACGCGGCACGTTTTGTCTTGGCTCGATATGATTTTATTTCACTTTCTCACTTATTGTCGAATTTCTGTTTTTCATGTTTTCCCACTGCTTTCTCGTTTCTTTTCAACTCAGTTTTCTTGTATTCTTTTCACCAGATGCAGCTGATAAGAGACACATGAAGAGTCGTTGGCTGCGTTGATGCGTTTGACAATTAAATAAATTATTTCGTCGCCCTTGTTCGTAGCTCAAGATTTAATTTGTTCTGTTTCTCGGTTGTTTGTCCAAGTCCTTGACAATCATCATTTGCATTAGATTTAATTAGCATTCTTTATATTATTCCGTTGTCTTGGCCACTCGAGGGTGCCAAATGAGTGCTAATAAAAGTTAAAAACTTCCAGAAGTTTCATTGACTCGGTCTCCTCCTGACGCTATTTAAGCGCTCTTAATGATGCTCGCCCTTTAAAGTGCTCGCGAATTGCGAATTGCGAATTGCGAATTGCACCTTTTACAGTTTGTCCCTGACACATTTCTAGATGCGGCTGCTGCCGTTTGGGCCTGGCCTACAACATTTTATTAGGAAAGTAAAGCGAGAACATTGCTGTCGGGCGTTGCTGACTGCAGAATATTCATTCACTGACCAAGCGCTGCCAAATCCATTTTCCATTTTATCACACCCTTAATGGGTAAAATCCTGTTACTATACTAATACACAAGTATATATTCCGTTTCTAGCTCTAATAGCGACGAAATTGTTTGCAGCCAACAAAATGGACATTGAAAAACCCAATATACTCATTTAAATTTCATGAGTGAGTATAGAAACACAGAAAAAGTTGTCGCAACTTTTTTTTAACGGCCAAAGGAAAATGAAAATTTTTTCGTTGAATTATGGCAGTCGCTAAAAATGTAAAAAGACATGCAGAAAAAGTCTGATTGAATAAGTGTTTCAAGGGTCAAAATTTAATTGAGTTTGAGCTGAAATTAATTTTTATTGGCTTATAAAATTATATTAAAAATAAATTAATATTAAATAAAAATAATATATTATAATATATAAAATAATTTATAAATAAATATATATATTTTATGCCCTTCTCTCACTTTTTAATTGAATTTAAAATTAATTGCCATTCCCGTTGAAAGTAAACATTAAATTAAACTGCAAACTAAATTTCAGTGGAATTATATGTGAAAATATTATATAAACTATTCTTTATTTATAAATTTATGTATTATTATTATTATAAATTGCTTTTTATATGGAAAGTGCTAAAAATTTCCACTCAATTTTTACTGAACCTCACCAGCTTCAATGCCCATACTTTTTACATCGAAAATCTATATTAGTCTAGCCCTTATGACTAAATAAATAATCAAATCTGCCTCATTTATGCAGAAGCACAGACCCAAAGCTTTTTTGGGACACACCCGAAATTTCTTTGAATGAACGCCTGCTTAAAGATTCAATAGACTTTAATCGAAGCGTGATATAATCTTTTTATGTATATATATTTATTTTTTATTTTTCGCACATAATCTGTGTGGCCAGCATGCGCCATATGCGGCGTATGCGTGTTTTTCTCTGCCGAGTCTACGGGTTAATCGCATGTTGCATACTTACAGGCGCAATCGGTTGGAAAGAGCATTTCTCTTTACTTTTTTTTTTTTTTTTTACAAATTGACGTTTATTGTGTCAATCGACTCTTGATTGCAGCTGCCAGCTGTTGTTAATATTCATAACGGGCACTGCTTTAAGAATCCGGCAACTCTTTATTATTGTACTTGAAAACCTTGGATTATTATAAATTATTAACTTTACATTATTTAACTTTTATTTTGTTGTATATTTTTCTAAGATTTCTTTCACTGATTTAGATTATTATTTAATAATTTTATTCCATAATTATCTGTAATCATTTAATACGTGTGTATGTGTGGGAGAGTGCCAAGTCTTATCGTATCGCTGTGCATATGCTTTAAATTCTTATTGAATTTATTCATTCTAGAGGCAGAAACGCTGCTGTAAACCCGCCAATTCGAACCGCACACTTTGAAAACCGACAACGAACTAAAAGTGGCAAATGTATTGTTGCAGCTTATGTAGTTGAAGTGCTTGGGCGATGGCCTAACAGCGTTGCTGCATGCAGCCATAGTGGGAAATTTCGCTGGAGGAAAGTCTGAGCGAGAGCTACGAACACGTTGCCAACGAACATTTCGTCTAGAACATGTTGCACAACTTGTTGGAGCGCATATATTTAGTGCCTGATTTTGATGGCCGAATGATGGGTAAGACTAGTATGCCCTCGTCTTAGATCCTAACTCTTACGTGGGTAAGTAAACTCTGGCAGGAGTCTAGCTTTTAAGCAGTTTATGTAACTGATATCTTTGTTTACGCAGCTGCCTTGCCAAGTGTCATTCATGGTATTTGTTCTCTTAGCCAACTGTCTCGACTTGTTTATAGCCCACGCAAGCTGCCAGCATTAATATTTTTCTACTAAGGTTTCTTCAAACCCTAAGTCTGTTTTCGCGTACATTTTATGACTAAACTTTTACTTTAAATTGGTTTTCTTATTATATATTTATAGTATATATGTAAATGCTGTCTTATATATACAATATTATTTCGTATTATGTATATATTATATTATTATATTATTTCGATAAAGCTGCAGTTTGGGTTTCTTTTTATTGAAATGTATGTAATTTTTATTTTATTTTTTTTTAGATGAGGCTTAGCGTTTTATTAAAATGAAGAACTTTCAAGTACAAGTACTACATGGCAATATTGACCTTGTATTGATATTGTACAGTATATATAGTACTATTGACTTTGAATATTAACTTTTCATTGATTTTCATATGGCATCCGGAAAATTTTATAGTACAATGAAAAAAGTATATGATAATAACTAAATCTTAAATCAAATGCACAATCTTGCCCGGAAGAGTCTCTTTCTTTGGTCTACGATGTCAGATACCTGATAGGTTTACAGAAGAGTCATTAGGCTTCTGTGCCTTTTGCTGTGTTTGGAGAATCGATTGAGAGCCGTTGCATAGCGTTTAGCTCTTTGAATGCGAACATTATCATTATTAATTAAGTATTTTAAGTATTTTGTACAATTTAATAAGTTAACAGTTTGTAACATTAAACCGGAATTACGTTATTATTTATTTTGTATTTTATTTATTATTTATTTTAGTTAATTATTAGCAAGGAATACAAATGTTGGCATGAGCTGAGTTTTGCTAAAATTAGATCGTTTTATCTTTTGTATAATACAAAATATCTATAGCTAAAAAAAAAAAAAAAAAAAAAAAAAAATCTTCATCTTATTGCCACTTGCTAAGTTTTTATAATTGTTTATGGCCAAGCTTAAATCTAAAGTGCAGTCATTTAAAGAAGTTGCATAAGGCTTAATCCCTGGACGGCAAATGCTTAGACATTGAATGTATAATTGATATGTCTATGGTGGTAGCATATCATGGCGCTGTGTCTAATCCAAATGCAATTGCTTAATCCGGTATGAGAGAGACAGCGAGTGGCGAGCGACGTTGAAAGATGTTTGATGGACTGGCTGGCAGGCGTGATGGACCGGCGGGGGGAGTGGTTGCTGGACTGATGCCTCTCAGCGATGCTGCTGCTCAGCAAGCTTAACGCATCATAGCGTTTGCTTGAGTTAGCTATTGAATTACGCAGATAACATATATACATACATCATTGTATGCGCACATATACATGAACAGAGACAGCACTCTGATATGTCAACATATCATGTTGCAGTCGAGTTTCGGGCGCTAAGTAAGCTGTGCTTGTAGTTTCATCCGCGCTAGAATTCCAAATGGAGCTGGCTAAGATGCTTACACAAAATCACACTGTTGACCCTTTCATTTTGACCAGAGCTACGCTCTTTGCTCAACTTTATGCGTGTGCACAGATTTTTATTGTATGACGTGCCATAGCAGCATCTTAAGGACATTATGTCCTTTAAGCGTGATACTGTGGCATGTCCTTACAAACGTTTCCATCACCTTTAATTAATTAAGAGGTGTGCGTTGACATTTAAGCATATTTTTGCCAGCGCAATATGTACTCAAAGAGCGCTTCAGTGCGGTTTAATTAGCACGGATGACAGGATGTGTGAATATTCACGTTTATTAATTCCATATACTCTTTGCACAAAGTCAGAGCTCTCGGGGCGCACGGTTGGCTTTTAAAACATTTTTTCAATTACCGCAGCGAGTGTCATCTGGCGCACGAGCAGAGCTCATGATGAGTTGACAAATATCAGACGTTTGTCGGCAAACCGAGAGCCAGCTGAATTTTCGCTTTTATGTGAAGTACCTCTTGACGTGGGGCTTGGCTTTGCCACGTGCGTTGTCAGCGATACGAAATACGATACGAAAATGGCGCTTTCGCTTTGTCCCTCAAGTTTTCACAAGTTTCCATTGTGCTAAACAATTAACAATGCATTGGGGATATGAATATTATTATTGTTATTCTCATTGTTGGAGCTTGATATTTGAAATTATTTTCTTGATATCATAATTTATTGAATGCTTACTGATATCATACTTTCTTGCCACGCCCCAGCATTCCACAATTGTTTCTTGAGCTGCCTAATCAGCTGTAAAGCATTTTCGTTGCCAGCTCGAGCTGCATATGTTTACTTATCGTGGCTCCAGCTCAGGCAGTATAAAAGCCGCAGAATTCACTGAATTGACATTATTATTCTAAAAATCATTAGGACAAAATGTATTTCACTGTCAGCGCTGTATTCCTGTCATTGGGCTTGTTAAATATGCCAGTGGATGGCAAGAAGTACAAGCCATATCATGTGCCCGCTCAGTATACGAGCACATTGAAAGAGGGTCTCGAACCGGTTCATGTGATCAAGCTGCCCGAAGTTGAGAAAGTCCCGTTCATTGAACATACAGTTGAAGATGTTGTGGAGCATGTGGGACTTTCCGAGTTCATTGAGACGTCATCAGTGCGTATGGAGATGGTACTGAAAAAGGTATACGGAAACTGATTTTAAAAAATAAACCACACTTAAGCTATGTATACACTCCCTAGATGAAGCTCGAGTCGTTTGCGAAAAAGTGTCATAAGAAGGGCAGCTACTGCTTCAGAAAGTTGGATTGCTGCTCTACGCTCTGCCAACGATCGTCGAACAAGTGTGTATAAAATGGTAATATATTATTATAGATATTTTAAAATAAATAAAATAATTTGAAAAAAGTCTTTCTTTGTTGTAAATAATATATAAATTAAATATATAATAATTTATTAAATACAGCTGATATAGCCTGACAAGCTGATTTCAGGGTATAATGGACTTGTGATTGTGTATGTAACAGGTAAAAGAATGCGTGAAAGACTCTATTAAGTATATCTATATTCCCGATGAGGCCTTTGAGCTCAGTTGGTCTGGTAAGGTTCGTCGATCCGCCCGTTTCTCATAACCAACATAAGGTTGATATTATAAGTCTTAAATGAATACCCTTGTATATCAAACACAGTATCTCTTCTGTTTTCTGTTATCCCATCTTTATTATTAAAAAAATAGATTTTTTAAATTTTTTGTATTTTTATTTATATTTTTTTTTTTTATTTATTTATTTTTTATTTTTTTATTTTTACTAGTTTGAATACCGAAAATAAAAAAATAAAATCACTAAATTAACTTGGGGCTACGATAGTGAATAATACTGATTATTTTCCTCCTTTCGCACCAATAATAATAGGTTTCACATAATGTAAATAGTACGTTGTTGTTATCTCGCTCTAAAATTGAATCAAAGAAGTTAATTTAGAATGAATATTGTGAAAGTTTAGGCAGTAAACTTCTACTATAAGTGAGGAACGGTGGTACTTTTGTATGCATGTATTAAAGATGCGTGAATAACAGCCCATCGTAGAGCTCAGGGTATCTGCTAGTCGGGCAGCCCAGACTAGAGCACACTCATACGTTGCTAGTTCTATTTCAGTTGTATTCTGTTCAGCCGTTGTGCTATCAGCGCATTCTAAATGTTGTGATTTCCGTTACAAATCAGCTGCATTATGCTAAACACATGCCAACTGCAGCGAAGTGTGAAATTGAAAAAAAAGTTGAAAAGAGAACTGAAACTAAACAACAACAAAACATGAATATTTTTTTTTTTCCCAAATGAAACTCAATGTATAACTACAACTACAACATACGAAATGTTGGCGGAGTAATATGAACTAAATATTAAGTATACGCCACGTGCTGCTCAGAAGCTCCACTATTGGCTGTGGGAGGCGACGTTGCTGCTCTTCTTCATTTGGCAAGCGAAAATGGTGTGCAAATCAAGTTTTATGGCCAGCAGGGACACACTGACTGCCCAGTCAAATGGACGCAATGGGCCAAGCAGCTGTGCGAATGCTAATCAAGGCAGGTCGCAGCAGAAAATGCATATATAATAGCCGCATAAGTTGAAGTGTGGATGGCGTACATGAAAATTGTGAAGCAGCTGCTGCCGTGGGAGATGAGTGGGAGATGAGTGGGCTAACATAACACACACACACAAACACACACACTCAGTCAGTCAGTCAGTCGTATTTCAATTGTGCCAGTTCGGGCAACAGCTTTATAAATTAATAACAATAATTTATACACAGCAGCGAGTACAGCAAATCATAATAAATTCAGTAAAACTTTCAACATGCACAACTAGTAGAACAACAATTACAGCAACAATAAGTTGCATTTGGGTCCGAAGTCGACAATTCTCACCCGTCGTGCCCAGCCTTTGCCATTGCCTTGCCTTTGGCTTGCTTGCCTGATTTTCCATGTAGATTTATAAAGCAGCCCCCAGTTTGGCATTGCTTGGGGTTTGGGGTTCAGTGTGAAAAACTTGTTTATGAGAGCGAAAAATGAGCGCTTCGAGTTAGTTGTTGTTGCTGTTGTTGTTGTTGCTTTCCCTCTTTTTTCAGTGCTCTTTGTTGCACTCCCGCAGCAGTGTTGCCACAATAACAACACGTAAATCTGGCACCAGCTGACAAGTACTGAATTTTCTCTTGTTACGCCGCTCGGCAGCCCGTGGCGCAGCTC